ATCATCATCATCATCATCATCATCATCATCATCATCATCATCATCATTATTACTCGGTATACAAATTCAGTAGACCAAAACTTAGCACTCGGCTTTATGCTCTGTGTGATATTAGTTTGCACTGTATTCACCGATGAGAAGATATAAGAGAATGTTTATAAGTTTTTTTTTTTTTACATTAGTCAGAATGTGCATAAAGACATTTTTCTTGTATCTGTGACGATGGGTTAATATTTTCGAAAAATAATGAAACTATGATCTCTTTGAGAAACAACTCTTTTATATCGTTTCACGCAGGTTATTATTATCACCACCGTGCTTCGATAGAGCAAATTGTAACTGTTGTGTTATTCATTTTATTACATATTATTAGTAGAAACTGGATGTCCACTTTTCTTTCTTTCTTTTACGAAATACTTTTTGTATTGCATACAAAATTGTATACAGTAACTCTCTTCCAATTGCACTCGTATGATTTTGTTATCTAAAAAGTTTCTGAAATCAGTACTATATATTATATGGAATTTGCTTTGGTATATCACGGAAATTATTTATAAGTAGAATTTGATAAAAAGAGTATTATATGTCGTTGATGAATGCTTGTAGAGAAATGATTAATTAATTAGTCGTTATTTCTTCTTCTCCCCTTCAAACGTACGTAGTTGCTTCGGATCATTCTTTATTTTCTGTTCTTTATACTTTTGGATGTTTTTCAGGCTTCCGTAGTGCATGCATTGTTTTTTAAATTTTAACCATTCTAATCTGATACGAGTTTCAGGGAAATACGCCCGGATTGCATTTTCCACACAAGAAAAGCGACGCCACCTTTGCGCAATGTTCAAAGTAAGTATTATGTTACTTGGACACGGGATTTGTGTATAAATTGATAAGAAACTTGTATGAAAACTCAATTCAGTTACTCACTGCACCTCTAACAATAAGCTAATCATTATTTACTGTACACAATGTATTCAGTGTATTCTGAAAGTTAAACCAAAAATATCCATGTTCAGTTTTGCAAAACAGCGTTGTTCCACAGATTGAGTTTGTTAACAGACGAATTATCGTCACAAAGGTGAAACATTGTTAAAACAAGGTGTTGTAAAAGGTCGATTGAATCCCTTTCAGTATGCTTGAAGATATAAAGTCTCACGTAGAAGACGTCATGGAGATTCACGAGACGCCAGCCAGTCCTAGTCCTCCTGTTAGTCCGGACTCGGGTTCGCAAGTGGAACCAATAATAATTCCTACCGAGCGCAGTATAGACTTCGATGACAAGCCTGATAGCAAGCCAGCCTCTCCTGATCCAATAGACACACTACCAACCAAAGCCCCCATCATCATACCTACAGAGAGGACGAGCAACGATTTGATCCTGTCGCCGCAGCGTTTATGTAAAAGCGCGGACGACGTGTCGTTCACCGAATGGGATATGCTCGAGGAGAACGAGAATCAGATCTCGAGGAACAAAAATCGGCAGAAGATCATTACTTCTAGCCATGACGTTGTTACAGCGGTCAAAATGGCGGGAAGTAATTTATCTCCAAAGGTGAACGACGGCAGAGCTCATGTACCTATGTCGGTGCACCTGTCTCGGCAGATACAGACCGTGCCAGTCCCCTCTCTGGGCGGTTCCAGAAGATTGTCGTCGATTCTAGAAAAGAATCGGATGATGGGAGTGAACACGGACCAGGTTTCGTCGGAATCTAGGCCTGAATCGCCTGCGAATGTGCCTGATGCTCGGTTAAAGTCACCAGATTCGGAGATTCTCTACCCAAAGCTTTGTAAGAAGCCTGGTTCGAAACCTCCGGCGCCGCTGTTGCTTTCACCGCCTCCCGTCTCCACGGAACCGCCATTGTCCATAGAAGATTTGGCTGAATTGTTGAACGACGAAGACGATGGCAAAATGGAGAAGAGCGACAGGTTAAGGGAGGATCTAGGTAAATTCAAGAAGGACAAACAGGAGTTAGGTGGCAATGTGAAAGATGCAAAGACGTCTAAGTCGTTTGTATTGACGCAAGAGGATATTGACAGCGAGAGTGAGAGGCGTTGGGAGGAGATAGACAAGCATATAGTTAAGTTAACTAGTAGGAAATGTCTACCCAGTAGTTTAAATGCTACGCTGGTGACGAAAGCCGATGCTCTGAAGCTTGGTGAAACAAAGGGATCATCTCAGGGTAATTTAGGTCATGCTTCTAGTTCGTTTCCGACGAGCACGAGTACCGTCGACGGTAGAAATGTACCATCTTCGCCTAGCTCTAAGGCGGAGCCGCGTTTCGCGGACAACTATGAACGCCATCCTCGTCAGTTGCGTGACAACCAGGGCCATGATAAAGATAACATGCACAGCGTGCACTGTCGGCCTGACGACGATATGCCCAATCAGATGCTGCCTATGCATCATGGCAGTTCGATTAAATCGGATGATAGAAGCGCTGTGCTGTATCAGAGGCGTCAGGGGAATATCGAGATGGCACCTAGGATAGATATGGAGTTCCGAATGGAGGGGCCCGAGTACTTCAACAGGCAAGTACCGAATCAAGGCCACTGGCCACCCATGCACGCGCCCGTAAACGCGAATGATTTTTGCAACAATCAGTGGCCACCGTCTTCCAATTTTAGCGGTATGCCTAATTCTCCTGCCCAAACCTATCCGCATCCAATGGGTATGCCCCATCAAATGAACGATGGCCAGATGAGGCCTAATCAATTCCTTCCAAACATAAACACTGGTATCAGGCCTCTGATGAGTCCCAATACGAGACCCCCGGATATAAACCATATTCCACGACCGGATGATATACCCAATGTTGATGTACCCAATGTACCAACCATACAGCCTTTAATGTCGCCTACGAGGTTTCCTGTTGGTCCGCAGTACAGGAATTTTCAGGGCGAGAACAGACCTTACGAGCAACCTTTTGATAGAGGAATGGAGTATCCTCATCAGAGACAGTCGTGGGATTCTCCTGTTAATCGACCGAACGATGTACCGTATAGACCAGAGAACGAAGTTCCTTGCGGTGTGATGGGGCCCGCAGTTGAAGGTTCTTCAGGGCCATATCCCAGGCCCAGCACACCTTGTCCCTGGAACAGAGACAGAGACCGTAGCGGTAGAGGACGCAACGCGTATTACAACGAAAGGAATAGAGCAGAATCTAGGAATAATTTTAATCGCGATAATTTAACTCGCAGATCCGAATGGTCTGAGTGTAATAGGTTTGGCAGAGACGGTAGAAACGTATTTGACCGTGACCCAAGGGTACGCACGGAGCACAATTTAAGTAATCTAAACTCGAATCAACCAAGAGATAATGGTGCTTCGGTCAGGGATCCACGGTTAGCTAAGGACAAGCATTTCCACCCTGGTGGTAAAGGTAAAGACAGTAATTTCAACGAAAGAGATCCCAGGAAACGTCTGCCACTGCTTCCAACGCCGACGTTTAGGAAAGTCAAAGAAAAGCCTAAATCTCCTCCAAAGTCAGTTGATAGCCATAAACGCGTGGACGCAGAGAATAACGCGAAACAAGCACAGGAGAAGATAATGAAAGACAAGAAACAGTCACCTTTGGAGAGTTTATACGGTGTTATCGATACGAAAGCGAAGTCCGCACAAGGATATTGTTTGCAAAACTTCAAGATACCTAAAATAAAACGTAACGAATCGTCAGAGTCGCCCACGTCAAGTCACATGTCAGAGGAAATCAAAGAGTGTTCTGTTGAAAAACAGGATGACAAAGTTGCTAAGAGGGACAAGGAAGATTCAACCGCGGAAGTTAGCAGCAGCTGCGATGGAAACGTACCTCTTGAGAACTGGAACGAGGACAATGTGACCGATGATAAGAAAGAAGAGCAGAAAGAAGAGAACATTTCCAGTGAAACTCCCGGGAAAGACAAAACCGATGTGGACATTATTGAGTTAGACTCTGTCAGCGCTGTCTCTTCTAAATTATCTACCAGCGTTGAGAAACATAAGAAAGAAGAAATGGACTCGGAAGGATCGAAATCAAAGGACGAAGTAACTCAGGAATGGATAGAAACTTTAATTAGAAAATCCTTCGAATTCGGCGAGGGGAAAAAATTCGTTGAACAGGCAAAGTTTATGCAAAAGCTGGGTGAAGTATTGCAGGCGAAAAAACTGAAGAAGATCAAAAAGATCATCGAGTCAGAGTCAGAGAGTAGCAGTTCGGATAAAGATGATACTCCTGAGACGAAGAAAGTCCAGATGAGGAAGAAACGACGAGTAATTGTTTCAGATAGTTCGGACGAAGAATCTCTTGCTGAAAGATTTGACATCCTAAAGACAATGAACAAAGAGTTGATTCAAGACGCACCAATGAATGACCAGGAAGAAGACGCAAATAAAATTCTTGAAAAAGAGATTGCCAACATTAAATCTTCCGAGTCTAGGGGAAAAGATGCTAAAGATTCCACTACTCAAAAAGAGATTACTCAGAGTACTATTGAAATTCAAAATACTATCGAAAAAAAGGAGGAATCGAATGAAGACGAGGTAAACACAGACAAAGAGAAGGACGTTCCAGAAACATTTAAAAATAAAGAAGAGTCAACTGAAGAAAAGGAAATTGTTTTGAAAACACCAAAAGTCAAAGCAAAGAGAAGGAATTCTCTGGAAATGTTACAAGAAGATATTAGAGAAATGTTTATTAGTGATGGTGTTGTAGCGGCAACTGGTCACAGGTTATGTAGGACACAGAAAGAAAATCAAAATAATGCAGGTACAAATTCTTCTAATCAAAGTATCGCAAATACAAAGAAAAAAGAACTTAAAAAAGAATTAAAAAAAGAATTAAATGATTTAGCGATAGATTTTGATCTAGAAGAAACGGTAGTTTCATCCATGTTCTTCAAGCAGAAGAGATCTACGCGTGTTACTGAGGAAGTAAGTAAGACCAGAGACAAAACAAAGAGAGAAGCGCAAAGAATCACCAGGCAACGTTCGAAACAATATAATGAGAGTTCAGATAGTGAAGAGGATCAGCCACTGGCACTCAGGACAGAGTTAGTTCAAAATTCTAATTCAGGAATTTTGTGCAACCAGGAAGTATCTAACGATGATTCTGAGATTCTAAGGCGAAGCAAACGTATAATTAACAAGGAAACGATAAAAGAACCACGAGTAGTAGTCGAGAAGACAGACATTTCCAAGTTGGAGTGTTCTAAAATAATGTTTGATAGCTCTTCTGATGAGAGTTTTGGGATAGATGTATCTGAATTGGCTGCAGCTGTGGACATTTCACTTCATCCGGATAAACAGTCTGAATCTGAAGTACTAGAACAACTGGAAAAGAAAAAAGATACTCCATCTTTTCTCAGAAAGTCCACAAGAAAAAAAGGAAGCGAGTTGCTGAATGAAAATAAAGATAATGTTCAATTTACTGATGAAGAAAGTATTACTTCTGATATTTCTATGTCGAGTAGTACAGCTTCTGGTAAGAGAACAGGTGCTAATTCAACCAGAGTGGATACTAACACTAATAAGAAGCTATTGAGTAACATTTTAGTGGGATTAGAGTCAGTAAAGAATGATGCAGATAAAGACTTATCAATAACAGATAAAGGAAGTGATGCGGACGTTGATGATGATGTTAATGATCAATTACCTATTGAATCGAGTGCGAAAAAGTCTTCAACCAAGAAAAAGAAGAAAAAGTGTAACTGGCAGATGGGTATTCTGTCTAAAAAAAGAAGGAAAAAGACTCTTATAACTTCTTCTCCCAAGGGCGATTGCGATGTTAATACTAGTTCTGAACTGGATATTTCTAACAAAATAGATCCCATTTCAGAAAGTTCAATAAACAAAGATAACAATTCACTCAATAATACAGATCAGAATATTTCGGAAAAGCTTGGTGGGGATGATGTTAAAGATGTTAATTCTAGTGAAGTCCTTCAAGATAATTCAAAAGGTGATAAAGAAAGTATACTTATTATATCGGATACTATAGAATCTTCTTCAAGTACAGCTTCTGCTAATGAAACAAAAACACAATCATTGGAAGTCAAAGATAAAGAACAAATTAATAGTAATGCTGAAAAGAGCATTGTTAAGAACAAAACTGACATAGACAAATCTTTTTCTGAAATAGATATAAAAAAATTGATTGATCATGTTTGTACAGGGCAAGAAAGGTATAAATGCTTGCTTTGCTCTTTTACTGGCAAAAGTATCGTTCATCATTACAAGTTAAGTCATCCAGGAAAGGAAATTTTAATTTCTAGATTGAAACAATCAGATGCTCTATTGGCTATTCAAGATGCAAGTGACAATGACGTAGAAAATTCATCATCGAATCCTCTGACAGAGAAAACTTCTAAATTTCGTTGCAGATTTTGCTCTTTATTTACTGAAGGAGCTACAAAGATTGCAATGGAAGCATTTTATGAACACTGTACTACTCACACAGGAGAATACAGATTTCAGTGCAACAGTTGTCCTTATCAAGCTGTAGCCAAATCCTCCATGAGGACTCATTATTACAAAGTATGTCGAAAGTTTAAAGACACTTTTGCTGAAGCCATAGCTGAGGACGAAATACCCGACGAAAATCGTATTTATGGTTATTTATGCTCATGTTGCAATTTTGTTCAATTAAAAAAGTGTAATGTGGAAGAACATGTTAATTTGTGGCATAAAGATGATTCGACTGTTAAGATCATTAAGATAAACATGTCCTTGGATGCGGTCGATGACGAACCTGATGAACAAAATGTTGATGTTCCAGAAAAAAAGGTGAAGGTAGAAATAACTCAATCAAGTGTAAAGGAGGAATCGCTAAATGAAGTCGTAAATCCCGTTGAACAGACTGATGATGATATCACTGAGATAAAAGTGATTCAGAAGGATACAACTTCTGATGAGAAGATAAAAGATAAACCTGAAGTTAAACAGCAAGAAGAGAATCATCCTGTATCAGACGTTACTACTGATGAAGAAAAGAAGAAATCACTACAAACGGATGCGGATTCCAGTTTGCCATCTGGAAATTTGAGTGTGTTCGTTTGTCCACCGGAATTGGAAAAGAAGGAAGTAGAAATTCAATTGGAACGGAAGAAGAAAATGCAGGAAATTATCCAAAATATTGGCATTAAATTGCAAAGGGATGCGTCTAAAAAAGGTTTATCTATAATAGACAAACTGAAGGATAAAATGAAGACTAACTTAACGAGTAGTAACTCAAGTAATGAATCTGATTCTAATATAATATTAAATTCTCCGGATAAAACTTCAATTAATATCACTACTTCACTAACTTCACCGTCGTCACCAACGCCGTCTCAAAATAATACCACTGAAGTGTCTGACAACTCTGAAGTTCCTTCAGTGGTACATTCAGAAAAGAAGGAAACTTTAAATGATAAACAACCTCAGGAGGACAGTACCTCAGACATAACACAGTCACCTGATGCAAAGTGTGATTGTCAGCCTATATCTGAAACAGATCCAACAGATTCAACGGCTAATGATCCATTAGTAATGTCAGATGCGAAAAAGAATAAAGAAAGCGACATAGAAACTAGCGATAACGAGAATATGAAGGATGATGCACCAATTTATGAGTCTGATTTTAGTAGCGAACAATCAGACAGTGAATTGCCTACCGACGTTAACATGATCTTGAAGGAAACTTCAAATATAAATGCATCTTGCAAGGACCCAATGCTTACCACTATACAAAGATTAGCTGCTCAACTTCAAGCAACAAAGCAAGATGAAACTTCTTCTAAACCTGAGGAATCTAAAAGGGCATTTCCTTTTAGTTCTATCCCCAAGCCACCAGACGTGGTTCCCATATCTAATATTAAAAAATTTATTGGAAAAAAGGAAACTAGATACCATGAAATATCACAGGACTCACCTGATGATGGTGATCTATCTAAGAGCTTCATCCGATTGAGACGTCTTAGCGGAGATATGTTATCGGCATCCACGCAATCCTCAGGCGTTCAAGAAGGTACATCTTTATCAAAGAACAGTATGTATAAATATATAAACAATAATATGAATCATGTCATTATATAAAAGTATTTTATTCGTTAGATGCGGGCCAGTCTAGTAGTACTCCAGTCTCTACTACTCCAGATAAAATAAATTCCGCGTTAAAGCCAGATATTGAGGAAGAGTGTTCATTTTTGAAAATCGAAAATGTAGTTAGCCTGGCACCAAAAACCGATGGCGCTGAAAGTCCTATTGTAAGTCACTACGTATCGTATTTGCTCGAATTTGTTTCAAATTGCACGTGTATAACTCCCCTCTTATTACTGTTGCAGATAAATGATATAAGAAAAGCAGTTGAGACTCCTTCAATAAAAAACAAAGGCATATCTCTGTTGAAAAAGTCTAAAAATTCGCCTATAATTTTAAAGAGACTCAATACTGTGACTATTACACAGCCATTAACGAAGAATATGCAAACAGTGCAGTCCACATCAGAAACAGTGAAGTTAATTCCAGTGAAAAGTATATCCCCTTCTCCAGTTGTAACTACCACTCAGCTTACTACCAATTTTATCCCGATTGCGCCAAAATCCAACAAGTTGTCTTTTCCCATTTCACCTCCGGCGACTACTCGATCCGTCAATGTTAGTGGATCGCCGCAACCATCTCAGAGTTTGAATTACAAAATCGTGAAGGTGGTCCGAGCGCCCACTGTAATAAAACAGAAAGAACCTTTAGCCTCGGCGATTAAATTAAAATCCGCAGACGCGTACAAAGCGATGTTAAAAGCCACTAAATTGATTCATTTGTACAAATGTATGGCGCGTGATTGTCGCTTCACTACTGATATATTGGCGATATATCAACAGCATTATCTTCAACACGCCAGAGAAGTCCAACGCTCAATGATGCCACCGCCATATGATTACCAAAAATGTGCTTATTGTTACATGATATTGGAAGATTGGAATCAAATGAAAACACATATCGACGAGAAGCATGCACACTGTCGTTATCAGTGCATGTACTGTTTTTACAGAGCTATTGTACCTTCTTATGTGCAGATACATCAGGTATGATGCAAGTAAGATCATCTTGTAGTATTATAAATTTTTGCCAATTAATTAATGTATTTTTATTTATAGATAATGACTCATCCTAAAAATCGTGGTCTTCTACTTAGCAAAAAGAAAGAATTTCCCAAAGAAGAAATCAATCGACACGACACAATACATCCTTACGTGTGCTACCAGGGTACGATTTATATTTACATTATTTGTCATCGTTTTGAATTGAATGAATAATTAAACTTGTAATATTACAGATTGCGGAAAGTTCTTCTACGTTCCTGAATCTTTTATATCACACTTAAAGAATAAACACGGAATGCCTATTTCTGGCTATAAATGTCACATATGTCGTGTTACTTGCATGAAAATCGATCAACTAATGACGGTAATATTTTTTAATTATTTGATTAACTGCACTTTTTATAATTATTCTTACGAAATTAAATCTTTCTGTAGCACTATAAAACGCACGGGTTTTACAAATTCCAATGCTTGTATTGTTTGAATGGATCAGATCACTTTAATGAAATGCATAAACATCTGAGCCTGTTTCATTGTAATCGATTACCTCAGGTTCTCGAAAGGACTCTTTCTCCTCAGGTAATGAATCAAATTATGTCATCAATAGTCAAAATTGGTCAATTATAATCAATGAGTCAAATTATGATCATCATTTCATATGTTGCATTGCAGCCAATACGAAACAGAGATGTGATAGATCAATTAATTATAAGAACGTTTGATGACACTTTGAAAATCACAGAAGAAGTAATTGATCTGGAGAACGAAGAAAAGGACAATAGCAGCAAAGAGGTTGATGTAGACATTGCTAACACGTCTCCGTCTCACAAGATATTTTATCCTCAATTGTCTAAAGATGTATCTTTGTTGAACAAAGATGAAAATGACGTGTTAAATATAGCTAGTTTATTCGAAACTGATAATAATTCAAATAGTTCTACGAATGCTAATATTTCACAACACGAAAAATCATTGAATGAAAGCTCTAATGATAGTTTAGTGAACAAGATATTTGGAAGTTTGATAAATGACTCTGAGATTTCGGTAACGTCAATTTCGAACAAAGAATCCGTAGATAAAAGTTTAATAGATAAATCTAAAAAAACGAGCGTCCCGTCCGATAAAGTCTCCGCGGAATTGATAGTATCTTCTGAAGGAACATTTGATAGCAACGACGAATTTATAAATATTAATTTGCTGGACAATCCTGATTTCGTGAAAAAAATCAATCATACCATTAACGTAACTCACGTGCCTGCTTCGTCTACGAGTAAAATGGAAGATAGCGACATTGAAATTGTGGACATTGATGATACGGAGATTATTCCAACAAAAAATATAAAATCCGAGTCAAATAGGAAAGATAGTACTGATGTAAGTGAGAAAGCAAACGTAGATCCAGAAAAGGATATGAAAGAACAATCTTCTGTCGATATGAAAGATTCAAATGCATCTTGCAATGCCAGTGAAAGTTCTACTACAAAAATGGACAAACCCTTAACTTTGGACGACATTAAAGATACTGGCTTCTCAGGAGCACAATTGTACAAGTGTGGTTACGAAACGTGTGACCATAGTGCACAAACTGCGGCTCAGTTGAGGATACACATGAAGGAATGTACCTTAAGTGGCGAGAATAAAAATCTGACTTGCGCTCATTGTAGCAAACGGTTTTTGAAAGTTGGATTTTTACTGGAGCATTTGAAATCACATGGGTTAAAGCGATTTGGTTGTTCATTATGTAAAATGAGATGTACAGTGGGTTACCAAGCAATGGCGCATATGAAGGTGAAACATAAATATGCGTACAGTAAATTAGTTCCGGCTGATCCAAAAAATCCATCTGCTGATGGGTTGTTCATCGTACAACCTATTGTAAGTACATTTTATAAAACTACGTAACACACATAATCAAATGATACACGTATAAATATTTCGTTTATTTTTTCTACAGCGGCAAAATGTAGAGCGTAAGAGGAAGAAACGGAAAAATAATACAAAGTCAAATGAAAAAGACAGTGAGAAAGTAATGGTGGACATTGAGAAATTCAGCTTCGGCCCTGATGAAATAGATTCCCTGCCACGTCAAGCGATCTACAACCGTGAAGTGCAATGTGCCGTGTGTCCATATACGACAAAAGTTCGTATGAATATTATTAGACACTTGCAACTGCACGCAAAGGATGAGAGCGTGCCAGAGAGTGGTCCGGTTAATCCTGTGCCTTGTTTGGATAAGAAAGAACGAATGTTTGATAAGATGGTCAATCTGGCGAGTAGTTCTCATCAGAATGGTCGAATGGGAGGGAAACCTAAGGAGATTAATAAAAATAACGACGACGAGTTCATCCCGAAATTTGTACCGGAGCACAAGAGGTAGGTATACATACTGAAACCAGATGTTATAACAATGTGGATGTTCTTGCAAGAGTGGGTGTGATTTTCGTCACATGTGAAAGTTAATTCGGCAAGTTTCGAGAATGATGAATTGAGGGATGTAAAAAAAATGGTAATGTTTTCCTACAATAGATACGTGTGTGGTGTAGCTGAATGCAATTATTTAACGGTCAATGAGGCAATGTTACGATGTCATTTAAAGGCTTTGCATTCCGAGGAACAGTATTTCCGGTGTCCTCATTGCCCACAACCACCATCGGGTCAAGAGGGATTAAATATTGCGATTGATAAAATGACCGTTCATTTGAAAATGCACGATACCAGACTTTATAAATGTTCTCACTGCAATCATCATCATTATCATAGGTACACAATGATGTCTATGTTTCACGTTTGGTATAATAATGCACCGTTTTGGTCACAGATCATAAGCATGATGTATTTGAAAATTAGAGTATAGTTTTTAAACATTTGACAAGCATACAAAGTAAAAATCTTAATATAAAATATACGTTGTATATTCTTGTCAAATGTTTAACCAAATTCATTCTTCTCAGTTCATTTTCTATGCTTTCTAATAGTAACAAAATATTGTCTAGACACATTGTGGAGAGACATCTTTCCGACAAACATCCTGAGAAAAGGCCGTTTGTAAAGGTAATCAGGGAGTTAGAAAACACGGAGAACAATCAACAATCCATACAAGAAGAGATTGAGGAGGAAGTGCCAGATCCAGATGGGAATCATTGGAAGTGCAACATTTGTGATTACAAATGCGTGTATAAAGCGGAGATGATCAATCATACGTCCGCGACTCACGACGAGAAGTGCCAATATAAATGTAATTCGTGTTCCTTTAAAACCAACGGCAAAATTATATTTGAGCAACATATTAATAACAAGCATCCTAAGGATTTAAACGTTGATTATGTTTTAATGTATCAACGAATAAAAGGTGTGAACAAAAAGACAGCAGATGGTGTAGAACAGGCTGGGCAGGATGAACCGTTTGATACTACTCCGCTTTGGAGACGAGACATGCCTCGGATCAGACACATTCGTGGAATTCTTCTCGAAGAAGAAAACGAAGCGTCAACGGAATTGTCTTTGAAGTTTGGAAAACGGAAGAGCGACACGGAATTGTCAGCACCTAAACCGGCCAAAATAAAGTCGGGAAAATCTAATTCATTGGACGACAGCAAGCAAATGAAAGAAAAATCTAAACGATCATTGTCTTGTGACAAGGTACCAGAAGAAATAGAATCTGCGAGTAGCACCCCTAATATAACAGAAAAGGAAATTAAACCTAAACTGATCGAAGATAACGATTTTAACGAATCCGATATTGGAAGGTTTGGTCCTTATGGAAAAGCAGATGGTAATATGTATGTCTGTACATTGTGCACACAGTTTAAAACTAAGTACAAGCATGATATGAGGGATCATTTATACAGAGAATTGAATTATGCTAGGTAAGCATTTTTTTTATAACTTTATTTTATTCTTTTAAAATTATTACATTTCTTTTTGGTTAAATTATTTTCATATTAAATATCGCAGATGGCACTGTAAGGAATGTGGATACTTGTCTGTGAACCGTAACGCCTTATTGAAACATTTTACTAAACATCACAATGGAGAACGTCCTAATTATGAACCGTTATCTCCGGATGATGATATCGAAGAATGGGTACATTGATGTCCATTTAATTGAAATTATACATTATTAAAAATTAATTTTAAATGCAACTTTTTTTTTTGATTATTGTTATGTTTAGGTTGGCATGCTATTGAAGAAACAAACACTAATGATAAAAGGAATATTAACTAAGCAAAACGCAAGTAACGTAGAAAGTTCTGCTACTACAACAAACGTAGATGGAAATGATTCAAAACCACCTGTGGCTAAGGTCGGCCAAAACATTGTTGGCAAAACTTCAAAAACTACAAATAAACAGAATAAGGAACAAACTACCAAAAATAGCTTCAAAGTGCAAGATGAGAATAATAAAGATGACGTGATTCCCATTGCCGATGTAAAGAGTGAGAGCGGACCATCAAAGAAGAAAACTGGGAAAACGAGTTATCTTGAAAAAGGTAAAATATTTTCAAATATGAAAGTTATAGTCAGGAAGTATAAAGTTATATTATCTTAATTACAAATTTTGATATAGGCGGGCCAGAAGAGAAACAGGAAAAGCCATTTATTTGTAAACATTGCAAAATGACTTTCTTCCGATGGCGCGGTTTTAAACTACACATACAGTTAACACACTTGAAACGACTTGGATTTATTTGTCCTTACTGTGACCGTAGCACAAACTCAGAGGGTTTGATGCGTCAACATATTCGTTCCAAGCATCCCGGTTGTGCTGAGAAAATAATTGAGAACCCCGCGGCTGGCGGGCCAGAATTGCCGGAAGAATTTTGGCAACAAGAGTACGGGATCGTGTTTCCTAAAAGAAACAAGAAACGAAAAAAGATGAGCGGGGAAGAAGTCGCGGAGAAGAGCGATGGCCAATTCAATATCGAGCCGCAGGAGAAGTGTAACATGTGCAATTTCACCGCCATGAATACGACCGGTCTCAAAATACACATGAGGGTACACGCGATCAAAACATTACTGAAATGTTCTTATTGTAGTTTCACCGCACCGACGAACTCGGAAGTCTGGGAACATTGGGATATCAATCATTCTGATTCGTTTTTAGCATTTAAAGTCGAAGACATATCTCCACCTGAATCGTCTGGCGAATCTACGAAGATAGAACAGGATAAGAAAGTTAATGCCGACGACTACAGCAATGATATAGAAGAAGAGCAGATCTCTGACGCGAGAGAAGAAGAATCTTTGGATATAGTTCAAAATGATTGGGACGTAATGAACAATGAACCGACATTGCAGATCGATTCTCCTAAAACAAAGTCGAACTATCCATTCAGATACAAAGACATGCGCGTGTCGTCGGAGAAAGCTCAATGCTCGAAAACGCAAGCAGAAAACCCTTACGAGTTGTATCTACAACAGTCGCATAGCGACGTACAGCAAGTCGAGAGTTTTGGATCGGAGCAAGAAGGTTGGATTTGTCAATGGTGTAACGAGTTATGTGATTCCGAGATCAAAATGAAAAGACATCATGACATGTTCCATTCGCACTTGCCGTTGAACTTCAAGAACCAAGAAAAGACTAGCGTGTCTCAAGGATACATTTGTCCCGAGTGCCCGTTCACCACAACACTTCTTAACGTTATGAAGAACCATGTGTCCAAGCATATAAATTTGTTTAAATGTAAATATTGTAATAAATCTTTTAGCTGTCCGTCGGACGTCTCCACGCACAACACTGAAGAACATCCTGACATGGAATTGAAGATAGAAAGTATACAGAATTACGAGTCATTGCTCGAGAAGATGATGGTTAAAGTCACGTGGCAGAAACCTGAAACTAGTTCTCATAAAAACAAAGATTCAGAACCGTCAACATCGGAATTACCACGGAAGAACAACGCAGTAGCGAAAAAGTCTACCGCTAAGAGTGCAATTCGTCTGAACACTATGCCCTACAGGGTAAAAGCGGTGGCAAGAAAATCTACTAATCCATATTCGAGATATCTTACTAGTAATAAAATGCAAGATAAGCAACAAGAAACGAAGAGTAAACAGTTTTCTTATTATGGTGGTCCTAGAAGTCCTGTTAATTTAGCCAAATTGAACACGTACATGGTAGTTGGCGGACATCGAATGAAAGTGAACTGCACCACTCTTGCGCAGTTGATCAACATCAACCCGAAGATAATATTGAAAGATCTCAAAAATGATATCAAAAACGTTCCAGCACTTAAGAAATTAAAACAATGAATGGAAATGTAAAAGTAAAAGTAAATGCTAACGCAGTTTAATTTAATATGATAAATATTTATTGTGTGATCATCATTGATATGATGATTAACAGTAACCAAAGTAACTCACGGTATTATGTACGTTTCTCTGTGACGTTATACTTAAAAGATATTACAACAATGAATTTTTATAAAATTCATTGATTCCCTCAATGCGAAAAACGTGTGTAAAGGATCCTCACAGTTGATCGTTTGATAGTTATATATTTTGTGCTTATACTCACCGTTAGTGTACATTTAGAAATTTTGAGAAATATAAAAAAAAATGTATATTTGTACTTCCTGTAAGATTATGTTGCCCTTTTATAAATTACTTTATTGAAGAATTGGAATTAGACGAGAGAAAAAAATGTTTTTCGTATATACAAGAATTGTATTTTATCATATTCGATTACTGTGACATCAATTTACCACCTTGCTATCAATGTGTACATATACATATATATTCTGCACATATATATTTTAATTAAACAATATAAAAAGCTATTAAGTAAGGAGATAAAACGTGTCATGCTGTAAGTTGGTAAAGAATTAATCTAAAAATCAAAACGCAGAATTAAACGCATTGTAAATAAAAGTGTAGTGATATACATTAACTAGATGCTTCGAAAAAGATAGATATTATTTATTTATTTTGGAATATGTAAAATGTCTTAATATTAGAAACATTTTCTCTTTTTTACAAATAATAACATATGATAATGTCTCTTTTAAGTACTTACATTCAATTACATTCAATGAATCGGCCATTCAAGGCTATGTCTTATTAATTCAAAATAATTGTTGTGAATAGTTTCCAGAGAATACTACTTACATATATCAATTCAAAAATAATTAATGACGAATTTATACTATACCCTGAAAGATAATTTTGTAAGAATGACAAATGTAAAAAAATTAAGAAATTAAATCTTAACGCGTAAAATTTATCGATACTGAAGAATCATTATCAATTGTAAGGATAATATTTATTATATACCTAAATTTGATTTTAATTTTGCTTTAAGAAAGTATCGGTGAACAATTTTACGTGTTGATACAGTTGAATTGTATTTATTTGAACTAAATTTTAATCAGTACCCAATTAAATGAATTGTTGCTACTTGAATCCACTTATTTGAATTTGAATTCCTATTACGAAAACGAAAAAGTCATTGATAGAAAATCAATGTATTTTTATTATATAAATTATTTGTCTTTCAAGTTCATATAAATAGAGTTTTACTGTATCTAATATACTGTTTTATACGATAAATGTGTATTTAAAATTTATATTATATTGCGTTTAAACTCGATTTTCGAATTTGCTCGAGTTTTAAAATCAAGCTTTTGACATCGAACATAAGATGGAAAAACAAGACTGAGTGTCCTGTAAATAGTTTCAGTTACAACAGAAATTGTAAATATCGTGTACTGTAAATATAAAATTTCACATAAATATTTTTGATTTTTATAATAACGGTGGTCATCATTTCTAATTTACATTCTTTATAACAGAAATTCAAGTTGAAATTGTACATGTGTTACTACGAAAATAATATTTATACAAACGATTATATTTTTTTTTTATTTAAATCATTGATTGTACAAAGTTATATATATTTGAGATGATCATTTCGCAATGTGAAATCATGTATGCCAATCAGTGATGGAAGATTCATAAAGAACAAATATTTTTATCGTTCTCAAATGTTTTAATTTAAAATTTAAATTTTATTTGTTACGCTGTGCAATTCTCTTGTTACTTAAAAGCATATAAAAACAGAAATTATGCATAGAGATCGTGCAAATGTAACATTTAAATTAGATGAAAGAACCATAAAACCGTAAAGCGTTCTCGTTCCGTATTTAACCTTTTAGGGACGATAATCCTGCTCTCATAATTTCATCAACCAAAAGAAGGTTGCTAGCAATGATTGTGCTGTAAATAAAAGTTCATATTTTAAAGAAAATCTCGGTACCGTAAAATCTCAATTTAAATAAGATTTTATAAATGTACCTACCACGAATTAATAATTTGCTTCTTCACATTGTAATTATCATAAATACCAGCATCTGTGGGTTTCAACGCTTCACCAGTAGAAATGTCTAATCCTACTGCCTCGCCTAACGTAGATCTTTCTTCTAACAATTTAACAATTGTATCTTGTGCATCGAATCCACTATTTACAGCTAGATAAACAAAAAAAGGAAATATCGAAACATAATCCTGAGAAGACAATTGTTAATTTGAAACATTTCATGTACCGAGAGTTTTCGGAATGATGAGCAAAGCTTCTGCATAAGCTTGTACACCCAAGCGTTGTTTTCCTTTTACTTTCTCTTTGTATAAATGGAGTGCTTGACTAGCGGCTACTTCGAAAGCACCAGCACCGGGGATAATAGCGCCATCATCAATAGCATTTTTAATAGCTCTTAGGCCATCTCTTACAGCGTCTTTCAATTGTTCTAAAGTGTATTTATTTGGGCCCTAAAAATTATTATAGCATTAAATTATAATTATTGAAAATCAAAAACGATTAACATCAATTTAAAAGTGTAATTATTTTACCTTCAATAGAATCGTCACGGAATTCGGTTTTTTGCATTCTTCAATAAACGTATATTTTGTCTCCCCCTATGAAAATGATAAGAGGACAGTTTTTTATTCTATATAAAAGATAGTTCTTTTGATACCGTATTATTCAAAAATTGTTTACCAATACGTGTTCGTAAACAAGTCCAGCCCATCCCAAATGTTCCTCCTTCAAATCGTCAAAAGAATTCATAGCTGTTCCACCGCAAGCCAGCGCTAAGCGTTCCATATTTCTACGTTTCGCTCTACGCAAAGCCAAAATGTTTTCCCGAGCGAGCATGTCCAACGACGGTGGATCAATCCCCTTCTGATTTATCACGACGAATGATTTGTCTGTTCCGTCGCACAATTTCTTCTTCAACTCGATTATTTTCTTTACCCGATTATCAATGAACTCGCGTTCTGCAGCTACCAATTTCTCCCGTTCCTCGGCAGTTTTGTAAAAGAATCCGCTGTTCACCTTTGTAAAAAAAAAACATAATTTCGTCATTTAGATAATATTTACAATTAACTCTTTCTCCACATCGATCTTTTATTACCTCGCTCTTCTCATATTCTAAGCTAACATTGCAAGTCAATATGTAAGCATTCTCTACTCTCTTAGGCATATCTGGATGTCTGGATCCATGATCAGTTACAATACCACGAATTAAGTTAGTGTCAGCCGCAGTTCTGTGCTGCATTTCCATTAATTCAATCATGTGCAGATCGATTTCCTGATCTTTTTGCCTAATGGTCAAAACTGCATCTACGCAGATCTCTGTCAGCTTGTCGGCTACGGTAGGATGAACCTTAGTTCTGAGCGACGTTCTAGCAACGTTTATTAGATTTTCCTTCACCGGCTCGATAGGGATTTTCAAGGAGTCCAGTACTTCCAAAGTCTTGATTCTAGCCAATTCGAAACCTTCAGTGAGCATTCTAGGATGAAGGCCCTCAGATATACATATATCAGCCTGCTTCAGAAGTTCCCCAATGACTAATACTGTGCTAGTTGTACCATCTCCAGTAACATCATCCTGAGCAGTGGATGCTCTGGCGATCAAAGACGCTGTCGGATGTTGTATTTGCATTTCATGCAGCAATACATTCCCATCCTTCGTGATTTTAATGTCACCTGCTCCAGACACTAGCCTTGAAAAACATTTGAATTGCACAGTTACAGTGATTTCAACATATTCAGTGACAGTATGAATATAGAATAAAAATGTGTTTAAATATTTTTTTTTTTGAACTACTACTTATATGGTGTTACTGTATGTATCCGGCATTTTACAGAAGCTTAATCTTGCCTAATAAGGATAATACACTTAGTTATGACGCAAACAACAATCGTAAAAAATAGAAAATACAAAATAACTTTGTACTTTCTAACTTTAATACTTCTATCTTAACTTCTTAAATGAATGACTCAAAGGATCGTTAAATTTACACGTGAGGGTAAGTATACATACATTTTCATGGTGCCCTTCGGCCCGAGATTCGTTCTCATTACATCTTGAATTCCCTTCGCAGCTGATATATTAACAGCCAACGCTTGGGCAGCTCTAGCGAATTCAGCTTTAGGATTCAACAAACTGATCGCTGCCATTTTATCAAATAATAATCAAAACTCGCTATATAACAGTGTATCCTGTGAGCACGCTTCTATCAATGGCTTCGACAGACCTGAATAACATATCGAGTGAACGACGTTCAATGATATAGGGATTTTCTTTTCGCCGCTTTCGAATAAGACCATAAATTTTTTTCAGAGAGTTCTCAACTCTTTTCTGAAAATTGTAAATTCATCTCAGAATCGATTGGAAAATTAAACTAAAACTAAAAAAAAAATAATGTTAATATTTCGTTCCTACTGTTTTTTACTTTATTTTAAGTTGATCTAGAATAATCTTTGAGGATGATCTAAGATTTACTATTTAACTATTTTGTGAGAGTTTTTTTATTAGACTCTTTTTATTAGATTTTAAACTTTTTGTAGATATTGTTTCGAGAGACAACGTTTCTGGATGATCTTTTATTATCATGAGCGATTTTTTAAAAAAAGATTTTAAGAATGTGTTAGCTATAGTGTATGACGTTTTCGATAATCATTTTGATATGAAGAGATTACATCATAGAAATAAGTCTAGAAAGCGATGACGAAAGGCGAAATTAACCTCAAGTAAAATTGAATGATATTTTGGAATTTTTAATATAATTGTTATTAATGCAGGGAGATGAACATGAAGTCATGTAAGATTATCAATACAATAGGAATCTTATGTGAGTTTCTTTTCTTATTTCAGTACTAATATTTAATTCAGTGTTAATAACTTAATTTAAAATTTAATTTAAATTATTATAATATTTATATTATTCATCGCATTGTACTTTTATTATTGAAAGTATATTGCAGGTAGAACATATACATCAGATCTTACATTTGTCCCAAAATGTGAATCTGTAAAAGATGTAGATTTATCAATGTTAAAAGATTTTATCAACAGTCACAGTAACATGTGTATATTAACAGGAGCAGGAATATCCACAGAAAGTGGCATTCCTGATTATAGATCAGAAGGTGTTGGTCTTTATGCGAGAAGCAATCGCAGACCAGTTCTTTATAGAGACTTTTGCAATAGTGCTGACATTAGGAGGCGATATTGGGCCAGGAATTACGTAGGTTGGCCAAGGTTGTAATTCCTTTTTTTCACAAGATTAATCCTTAAGTCATGTATGAAGGACAGCAATTAAAAAATATTCATTTTATAGATTCTCTTCAATCAAGCCAAATAGTACGCATCAAATATTAAAAAAGCTTGAGGACTTGAACAAAGTAAGATGTATCATCACTCAAAATGTAGATAATTTACACACAAAAGCAGGCAGCAGAAGAGTGATAGAGTTACATGGAACAGCATTTAAAGTAATGTGTCTTAGTTGTAATGAAAGAATATGCAGATATTATTTGCAGGAAATCTTTGATGAGATGAATCCAAACATGACTACAACTAGCCAAATGATAAGGCCTGACGGAGATGTGGATTTATCACAGGTAACATTACAAATATCTTAGAATCTTCAAGGATAATTTAAGAAGCTTTGATAGAAACAAATCGTTTTAATTCAGGAGCAGGTGGAGGGATTTCAAGTTCCATCGTGTGAAAACTGCGGTGGTGTTCTTAAGCCAGACATAATCTTTTTCGGAGACAATGTTCCGCGTCAGGTTGTAGAAAGTGTTAGATATAATATTGAACATTCAGACTCTCTGCTAATTTTGGGCACAACACTAACTACTTTTTCTGGCTATCGAATAGCGTTGCAAGCTAGCCATGCCAAAAAGCCGATAGCTATATTGAATATTGGGAAAACTAGAGCGGACGATCTCACAGAAATTAAAGTGAAGGGCAGATGTGGCGACGTTTTGACGAGGATTTACTTAATGATGGATCAGCGCGAGGAATGTACGAAATGTTAATTTAGAAAAAGAGAGTAATTTAATTTATTTTTCATATTATTTATTTACATTTATATTTACTCTACACCATGGCTGTGATTAGCTTAGATCAATTCGCAATGTACAAATAAATGATTTTTTTCTAGTGTATTCTTTTTACAATATTTCCTGTAACATTATACTCTTTTCATTCATTTCAAGGTTCCAGGATAATTTTTTTGAAATCTTAATCAAAAAAGTATAATTACTTTTTGTATTTTCTTGAATATTTTTCAGGAATTTTCTAGATAATTTTACCTAGGGATCAATTCTAGGGATTTTACCTAGGGATCAATTCTAGGGATTTTTATGTAACATTTTTCGATATATGGCTATTTTCGTTATGCTAGTAAATGTTTCCAGTTGGTGGTATCGCTACGTTTCTACAATTGACAAAATGTCGTTAGCAAGGTTAGTCTTTGTGATAATTATCCCAAAATTATTTCTTTTCTTTTTGTTATCTGTAGAATTCCGAATTCTGTTATCTATAAAATTTGTATGTTATATGATAAAATTCACGAAACCCTAGAATTTTTCAAGTGATATTTGTCAAACACAACAAACATCACAACTGTATTTGAATTTGCGCGATTATTGTAATAATTTTACCGTTCACATTATATTTTAATATATGTCATTACATTAGTACAGTTATTTACATTAGTTTGTATTTTATATTAGTTGTTATTTTATTTTATAACAATACTGACAAGATATTTTTGTTAGTTTACTACCTGCACCGTCGCAGGTGGTGTGGGACAGAGAAGATGAAGCAAGAGAACAGAAATTGCGACAGAGACCTGTATCTGCTCTTGTCAAAGCAGTTGTTACTGCTCCACCATATGGTCAACGTAAAGGATTTGTACCAAGAAATCCAGAGGTAAGAGATTCTGTTTGTCTATCTTTATGTAATAAATATAGTTGAAACAAATGAATATTTCGGTACTTTCTTCGAACTTCTGTAAGTGTCTAATTTACATTCGTATAAACTGTGCAGGATTTTGGAGATGGTGGAGCGTTCCCAGAGATTCATGTGGCTCAATATCCACTTGGGATGGGGATGAAAGGAAAAGAAACTACCAGTAATGCTTTGGCAGTTCAGCTTGATGCTCAAGGAAAAGTGAAGTATGATGTTATTGCTAGGCAAGGCCACTCTAAAGATAAGGTAATTCAGTGCACTTCAATAATATTATCATTTAATTACATAGGCATTATCGTTGCTTGTTTTATGTTCTGCAGATTGTGTACAGCAAGTTGAGTGATTTACTACCATCAGAAATTACAAGTGAGGAAGATCCCAGTTTGCAACGTCCACCTAACGAGGAAATTGATGAACTTACGGAGAAAACTAAAAAAGCATTAGAAAAGATAACGAGATCGAAGATAGCTGCAGCGATGCCAGTAAGATGCGCTGAGAAACAAGCTCCAGCGCAATACATTCGATACACGCCCTCCCAGCAGGGACAGTCGTTCAATTCCGGGGCTAAACAGAGGGTGATTAGAATGGTGGAAGCTCAGATAGATCCTTTAGAACCACCGAAATTCAAGTGAGTTTTACTTGATATAAATTTTCTTGGGACTAAGTACCCAAACGATATTTTAAATGCAAACCATGTTAACTACATTACGAATAATATAGTGTTTTTTAAATTATAGAATTAATAAGAAAATACCGCGAGGTCCTCCATCACCTCCAGCGCCAGTAATGCATTCACCTACGAGGAAAGTAACAGTAAAAGAACAGAAGGAGTGGAAAATACCGCCCTGTATCAGTAATTGGAAAAACGCGAAAGTCAGTGGCTCCTTTCACCATCAGTCACTATTGACATGTTATTGACGGAGATTTTATTTTCAGGGGTACACGATTCCGCTCGATAAACGTTTAGCAGCAGACGGTCGCGGGTTGCAGCAGGTTCATATAAATGAGAACTTCGCCAAATTGGCCGAGGCTCTTTACATCGCAGATAGGAAGGCTCGAGAGGCGGTAGAAATGCGAGCGCAACTTGAAAAGAAGCTTGCTCAGAAGGAAAAAGAGAAGAAAGAGGACCACTTGAGGCAATTGGCACAGAAAGCTAGAGAAGAACGTGCTGGCTTAAAATCAGCTACGATGGGTTTGTATATTTTTCCTGCGCATTTCTGGAGTATTATTTTGGAGTTGATTATATATAGAATATTTAGAATAGGTTTAATGAAGTGTCCAATAGCGTCGTGTTTTTTGATATTATGCAGAGAAATCAGAAGAGTCACGAGAACGAGACCAACTCAGACAAGAACGACACAAGGACCGGGCTCGAGAACGCAATTTGGCGCGCGCTGCACCTGATAAACGCTCCAGATTGCAACGCGAACGAGAGCGAGACATCAGTGAACAGATCGCACTTGGTTTGCCAGCGAAGAGTATTCCTAATAGTGGAGAAGCGCAATTTGATCAGAGATTGTTCAACACCAGCAAAGGAATGGATAGTGGTTATGGACACGATGACGAATATAACGTTTACGACAAGCCCTGGAAAGATTCTAATTCTATTGGCTCTCATATATACCGTCCCAGTAAAAATATTGATAAAGATACTTACGGAGATGATTTGGAGAAGCTCGTTAAAACAAATAGGTACTTGTTTGTCAATATAATTAAGTGTAACATTAATTTTTATGGACACTCGAGGAATTAAAGTAGAGAAGAAAGTTCCTGTATTAAGTTCTTCTATTAAAATTTTTCTCTCGTGATTTTAGGTTTGTTCCGGATAAGGAATTCAGTGGAACCGACAGATCAACAACACGCTCAGGACCGGTACAGTTCGAGAAAGATGAAGAAGATCCTTTCGGTTTAGATCAGTTCTTGAAACAAGCTAAGCGTGCGAGCAGTTCCACTACCACGACGACAAAACGCAAAGACGAACGGGAGCAACGCAGAGATGATCGTGACAAACGAAGGAAGCATTAATTTTCCTTGTTGTTTGATACTTTTATCGTTTTAGAACAAAATTTCATTTTTTTTCTAACTTTCCTTAAGTTAATTGTAGAATTAAGTAACTGAAGCTTAAAATTAATCCTTTTAATTCAACTCTGTATTCTGGTCAATGGGACTTTATTACAAATTTGATGCAGATATAAGATGCCTTACACAGTTTTCAGGAAATTTTTTTTTTTTAAATTCTCCACGCCATGCGACGAAAACATAACTTTACAAGAAAATGCAGGGATGTATACAAACTTGTCTAAAATCGCTAAATATATCGATTATTTAGTACAACTTCCTGGTGATAATTATTTAACTTATATTTCATTCCAGAAGGACAAGGGCATTGATTAGATTTACGTTTCAGACTCATAGTTCTTTATTAACACAATGTGCATACAGCGTTCGTTAGATTAACAAAGGAGGCGATACTTTCGTACGGGGAGCGATTGTTATTTCTTAATTAATAACGTAGTTATTTACTTTCTCATCAAATATTTTTTTTTTTTTTTT